GCCCCTAAAGAAAAGTCAAGACAACTTTAGTGATTTTTTTACCGTAGTTTTTTGGTATTTATATGGAAGTGCAATGAAAATTATTTTTAAAGAACTTTTTCGTCTTTTTTGAATATAACTTGGGCCGAATGGAGAAATTTATTTGATAGAGTCCAACATGTTCTAATAGAGCATTAATTCCCAACTGATTTATAACAGCAGTGTGCTTTATGTTATGAAGACCATTTACAGACATCTCAACCGTAAAAACATCTATTTACTGCTAACTACGTGGGTATGAAAATATATTTTAAATAAAAAAAACTCGTTAATAAAGCCCGTAAAATAAACGTTACCTAGGGCTCTGGATAGGCATAAATTAAATCTCTCCTGCTTAGTCATATCATTTTAGCTATTGTAGGTTAACAAATTAACAGTGGTAACAGTGTTATACAGTAATCAAATGTGAAAAGTGACGTATTTTTGCTCGCCACTAGTGTAAAGCGCCGATGGTTGCTGTTGGAAGTGCAGCAGCTTGTGGTCAGCAACCCGGGATTATAGTCTAGTCCAGGGGTGGCGAACCTATTGCATGTCGGAGAAATCATCTGATAATTTATCATACAATTTCTGTTTATCATCCGTCTTTTTCTTTACATTTATTCCAATTAAAACCTATTCATTTCATTTCGAATAAGCACGCATAAATAATTTTTAAAGATAAGTACGGTTACTATAACGCACACTGACTCTAAAACGTTCGCCATCACTGGTCTAGTCATTGTTTTTTCTCTTCAAAAGACAGTACTATCTCAAAAGTGGGCCTCTGGTTGGTTAAAAAGTTATTTTCAGGTTTCCGGTACATTAATTTGAGAATCTCTATTGGATTGTACGGTCACAAACAGTATTTCTGAAACGTTGTGAAATTAAGGATGCCATTGTAAGCCGACAGGAAGAGCTAAAAAACTTCATCCTACAGCACTGGATGACGAGATTGATTTCGGGCAGTTTCATCTGCCGCGCCATTGTAGCCTGGTGGAACCGAATCCACGACAGGCCTGGAAAAAAAGATCCTCTTCGTGTCCGCGGAACGGAGGATAAAAAAAAGTTTTTGGATTCTTTCGCTGTACGCCGTTGTTTAATACCGAATGATTTTTCCGTCTACCCTGTGAGCATCAGGAAGATTTTTCCTTATATGCCAGTGGTGCGTTATCCTAAGGACAACTGCCCGGGGCCCAAAGCAATCTATACTAATATTCTTTAAGGTGAAGTTTGGATGTAGGAGGTAATCTCCGAAACTACTCATCCGAGACAATTACTTTGACGGGTGAGAAATAAATTCTTTATTTAAATTTGATATAGAGAAGTGACTGAAATGCCAAATCAATGAATTATTTCGTCAATCTTAAGGTTGTGCCTGTTGAAATTCTTTCATTTGACGATTACTCCAAATTAATGATCTTTGTCGGTGAATATTTATTTACCGTCTGTTAAAATTGTTTCTTAAACAATAAAGAAATCATTATCAAAAGTATTTTTAAAGAAACAAATTAAACTTTATAGAAATAAAACGTTTTAAAATTAATTTCTATTTTGAATTGCTTCGAATATAATAAACTACGTCATCCAACACACGTGACAGACTGCGGATAAATCATTAAGTAAATTTTATGAACTTCCACTTGTTATCACTACTGACGTAATAGCAAGAATAATGCTATTGTGTAATGAAACAGCTCTTTTATAATTAGAGGTAAGTATAAACGAGTCTGTACATGCTCAAACACAAGCTGAAGCAGCGCTCTACTCGCGTGCTAATGCTATTCTCTTCAGAGAAGACGTGGATTGTTTTAATATTTAAAAAGTAAAAAATATTTTATATTATTTTTTTGTACGTAATTTCCAAAACACGTATAATTTTTTGGAAATAATCCGTTTAAACTATGCTATAAACAAAAAATTGTAGGATTACTTACCGAGTGTGCACCGTTCGACGACGCCATTGCTTAATTAAGCTTGTTTTCGTCGCGGAGCAGCGCACCAAACGGCGGGCGCATTTTCTGATAAGCGAATTTTTCTGCGAAAAATTCGCTTAACTTTGAAGACATCATAAATAGAAATAATTTTTATGGCCGTTGAATAAGAAGTGTTACTTTCACAAGAAATGTATAAAATGTAAAAGAGTACTGTATTAGGCTTACAGTACCTAATTTATATACTGTACAGACGATAGTAAACCCAACTTACCTGCCTAAACTCTCCGTAGCGTGTAAGTAGTTCGGCTCCTCGTCCACTATTGGCCCAGATTCGACCAATCCTGTCGCGACACGAGTCGGCGATGACGTTTTACCGCATTTTACGAGTTCTTTAAGCGTCTTTATACGAATACGGTTGCAATTTTTTTGCCGCGATATACGAATCCGCATTATATGAACCCGCGTTATGGGGGTCGACTGTACACAACGCGGTTATAATAAAATATTAATTTTAAGTAATTCAAAGTACGTTCAAATATGAAAATAATCGTGCAATATGTATTTATATTTTAGAAAATACAAATTTAGCAAAATCTTTTTACCCTAAGATACATATTTTATATCATACAGTGTGTGTAAAAAGTCACTACAAGGGAAGCGGCGTTTCCACGGCTTCCAATGACGGCTTTATAACCGATTCTTGCCAATAGCCAATATGGAGTTGATAAGAAACATTAATAATCTGATTATTATCGTTGTTCGTCTTTTGGAAATCGAAGGAATGAATGCCAAGAGCTTTTCCTTCGGTTAGAACAGTCGACAGCTCAACAGAATCTTGTTTCAGCTTTACTTAGTTTATTTTCCATCTAAAAGTCCAGTAAAGAATCACTACCATTATAAAATCCACTTAAAAATAAAAGTGGATTGTTGTTAACGAACCTTTTTAAACTCTTTCCGCCTGTGAGCACTAAGAGGGCCTCCTTTAGCAAGCCCATTATGGGTACGGCCATGCCCACAATGAGCCGGACTGATGGTGAGTGATGGGGCCCGAACATATCCGGACGGACCACTGTTATGTATGTAAACCGCCAGGGGATGACCGCTACCGGGAATTGCCCCTTGACCTACTTAGGTCACCCCACACCTCCGACCTCGTGTGTGTTCTTTGTCTCAACGAGTTGTCTTTAGTTGTTTGTAACCCCTAGACCTGGACACGACGATACTATGTTATATTATATATGTTTACGAGTTATCGTTATTTTCACGAATATAACAACCACCCCCCGAAAAATTCCTGGGGATTTTTTGACCCGTCTAAGCTGCCATCTTAACCGCTCGGCCATGCTGTAATGAATTAAAAATTTCCTTGAATACAATCGTACCCAGCAAAAATAAACAAATAACGTAACCAACACCTTGTTGCTTGCTGAGGGAGTTTTATTAAAATCGAACGTTTTCGATCCACTTAACGGATCATCATCAGGCAAGAATATACGAAAATGGAATACATCATAAATGGAATAATAAGTTCAAAAATTCAAAATATCAATAAACTGATAACATATCAATTAATAAAAATAAAAAATAAAAAAAATAAATAAAAAATAATAAATTGTAAACGATACCAAATAATAAATAATATACTACAACGATTACACANCGCCGCCTTCCTCCGCGACCCTTTCACTACTAAAAATCTGCATATTCGTATTAAACTACTATAAAATAGTACGACATTTAATAGTTATTAATCCTGATTAATACTTTTAGTAAGTACTACAGATTTAATATAGAGATTGCATGCTTTTAACATAATTATTAACTAAATGTTATTAATTCTTCTCCCATTTTCGAAAATTCCAGAATTTATTCTAAATGTAATATCGCCGTCTTCCTCCGCGACCCTTTCACTTTTAAAAATCCGCATATAAAATAGTACGACATTTGATTGCTAATAACTCTGATTAACTCTTTTAGTGAATACTACAAATTTAATATAGAGTTTGTATACTTTTAACGTAACTATTAACTAAATTTTATTAAAATTTATTAGATGCCACTCCGACAGTTCCCTTGTTAGTATTAATGTGTAATCGTCGTAGTATATTATTTATTATTTGGTATCGTTTACAATTTTTTATTTTTTATTTTTATTAATTGATATGTTATCAGTTTATTGATATTTTGAATTTTTGAACTTATTATTCCATTTATGATGTATTCCATTTTCGTATATTCTTGCCTGATGATGATCCGTTAAGTGGATCGAAAACGTTCGATTTTAATAAAACTCCCTCAGCAAGCAACAAGGTGTTGGTTACGTTATTTGTTTAAAAATTTCCTCTTATTCATATTCTTCTGTGAAGTCTCTCATCTTTTCTCCACTTGAAATTCTATCATTAAAGTACACTTAGTGGCCATACCCATCTTGGATGACAGCCGGATAGCCGAGCTGTCGAGGTGGCAACCTACCACCATGGAGGACCGGGATTGAATCCGGACGGGTGGAAAAACTCCCAGATATTTTTAGGTGGTAATCCGTCCGGATATGTCAGGCTTCGTCCCTCATCACCTAGCTGAACCCATAATGGGTTTGCTAAAAAAGCCTCTCTTAGTACCCACAGGGCATTAAGAGAGCTTCTGCTATCCACTGCTAATTAATTTAACACAAGAACAAACACGGTGACGGCGAATGAAAATTCTTCATTTTAATCTTCTCACACTTTGTCCATCCATAGAATCTGCTAGCGGTTACTGCCCTCTGTTTCACTCTGGTTATTATTTTACAATTTGGACGAGACGTGATAATAGTCGCGCGAATCTGAAAAAAGAATAAAAGAATAACCCCAACTTTCCAAAAAAAAAAAAAAAGGTAAAAAAATATTATTTACTAAAAGGGCGAGATGGTCCGGGAACGGCCGGGATGTAGCATAAAAATCGGGCCGTATGGCCAGCCTATTTGTTTAGTTAGGAAAACTGAAAAATACGTATTTAAAACACAATAAAAACAAAGCGAGCTGGTATTTACTGTGACGAACGTTTCCGGATCCTTTAACCTATCGGGAAGACCCGACACGGAATTAATGAGTAATCTAAAGGATACGAAGCGAAATGAGGAATCGGTTTCTTGTGGAAATTTTGAAAAGTTTTTGTCGACGAGACTACTAATATCGTTAATACTGTACTGTATTATCTGATGATAGCAAGATTATCGATATTCCGAGTGATGTATATAGCGAATGTTGTTTAGAATATTGAAATTTGCCCCGAAGTAAGTAGAACAAAATAATAGAAATAATGAATAGAGTTTACAAAAATATAAATATTAAACAATTTAAACGTGTCGTCTTCGAATTTAAAATCAAATTCGTAAGTTATGCAATAAAAAGAACACGTGATTGTGTTCTGGTACCAGTACATTTAAAATACATTCAATTGTAAAACTGTAAATTTATTTATAGTGAAGATGTTGATTTGGATAGAGAATTATAAAGAAATTAATAATACTCATAAGATTCAGTGGTGTTTATGTCAAATTCAGCATTAGAACTCAATTATCAAATTTTTGTATTAACTTTATTAAAAATAGTTGCTTATATTAAACTGTTTTAAATTTTCAGATTTAAAATACTGAAAATGGATTCTAGAGCATATACAGATATAAATTTTAAAATTAGAGCAAAAAACAAAGTGTATGAAGGCTTAGAGAAAGGTAAAAATAACTTTAGTTATAATTTAAAATTACTTTTGAATTAAAATTGTATAATAGTAAAGTTACATACTTTTCTTATAATAGAAAAAGGAAGCTCTTGGGAAGGTCCGTTTTATTTTATTCAAGCTGCCGATACACAATTTGGCATGATAGAATCTTATATTGAAAAAAAAAGTGATTCTTGTTGGGATAAAGAAATTGAATTAACAAAAAAAGCAATTTCTGCTGTAAATAAAATGAATCCGAAACCAAAATTTTTCATTGTTTGTGGAGATTTAATTGATGCTCTTCCATGCAAGTATAAATTTATAATACTACTGCATGCATATTATTTTATCTGAAAATAATTAAATGTGTACCAATTTTTCTTATGACTAATTTGATTATAATTTTGAATACTTGCTTCTTTTGATTTGTAATTATTCAAAATTATGACTTTTTTAATGATAAAATTTAGAAAATAAATTTGTAGAATATACTTATGTTTAGTCATTCTAATCATATGATATCACACTCAGTAATGGGATGTAACTTAAGTAGCATAAATTAGTCAGTCATTTTGACCATTTTTATTTAACATTAATAAACATTGCATTCTTTTAATTTACTGGATGTTGATTATGATTATGATGATGATTCATTATTGAATTTTTACATTTTATTACAAGTACATTTATTTTAATATTGAAATTTTATTATTTGTACAAAATATTGGATTGACATGTTCATAGCATATGTATTTGCTACTTTTTATGTTTTCTGACCAAAAATTTTTTCAATACTGATCATCTATGGAAGTTTCTATATTCTTTGAGAAGAGATGATGTATATTAGAATATGAACTATCTCATCTAATAAACATTTCAATCAGAGGCCTTAAATTTTATTCCAGTAAGGATCTTCAGGTCTGTATTTTCAATGATGAAATGATTAGATTGAATAATAATAGTTTTTGAAAAATTAAACAAAAGAAATTCTTGAAATACTATATATATATAAAATAGAAATAAAAGTAACAGTAAATATAAAAGTTAATAGTGGTACCAAAGAAATATACAGACCTGTAAGATGATTCATAATTGAAGTTCAAAAACATTAGTTGAAAAATATTTTTTTGAATTAAACCTTATTGGAATACTATTTAAATCTTTTGATTGAAGTGTTTATTATATCATTCCAGGTGTTTTAACTCCTTTATCTCATCTAATCTTTAATTTGAGGTTAAATGTTTAAAATAACATTTAAACTCAAATTAATGAGCATACTTTGTTTTTGTAATATTAATCTTATAGATCTTTATCATTTGTCATCTGAATACATGGGCTATATCATTGGTCTCAACATTATTATATTCATGATTATATTCATTGAACAGTCTATATGAAATTGCATGTATGGTGATACTGTACACACACCTTCTACAAAATAACTAATAAAAAGAAAATTGAAATAATAAAATAACATTTGAAGTGAATGTGTTATAGTCAAACGACTGTGTGGAAGTAGATTAAATCATAATTAATGGAAAACAATACATAAATAAAATTAACTTTTATTTTTTATATAGTTATAAATTTCAATAATATTTGTTTTAAATAGTTACTCCTTTACGAACTGCTCAAGAACAAGATTTCAAAAAAGTGTTTGCAGAATTGGATTCAAGTATTCCTTTAGTATGCATTTGTGGAAATCATGATGTTGGAAATACTCCAACTTCTGAAAGCATTGAAGATTATAAAAATAAATTTGGAGATGATTATTTTGTATTCTGGTGTGGTGGTGTAATGTGTATAGTTTTGAATTCTCAGTTTTATAAAGATCCATCTGAGGTGATTATTTAAGACATTTCTATTAAATTATTTTGGAATTTTAAAATAATTATGAATAAAATATTTTAAATAGGTAAAGAATTTAGCTTCTGCACATGATAAATGGTTAGATGAGAAACTTTCAGAAGCTGCTGCTGGAAATTATAATCATATTTTTATATTTCAACATATTCCATGGTTTTTAAAAGAAAGTGATGAAGATGATGAGTATTTCAATATAACTTTGGACTTACGAATGAAAATGTTGGATAAATTTAAAAAAGCAGGTATGTTATTGTATATGTATATACAGTAAAACAGTATTATAAATTACTAGTATGTATACAGTATTTACCAGTAAATATTTTTAGAAATAATTATTTAAATATATATAAACATTTATTTTACCTTACCAATATGCATATATATTAAAATTCCTGTTTAATAACTTTTCACTTTCCTATTAGTTATATCTGATAGATTAACTATTTAAATATTTCGGATCCAATTTGAAAGTTTTGATATAATTGTAAAATACAGAATGCTTCAGAAAATATAATTATTTGTATGAATTCTGTTCTTTTAATTAACTTTGAATAAATTTTATGACAACATTTGATGATAAAAAATCATTATAAAATATTGTTATAAAATTAGAAAAACTTATTAAAAATATTACACTGTTGTAAACATAGATTTGATTAATCATTTTATAACATGCATTTGTGTTTTATTTAAAATTAGTTTTGCTATTTTATATTTAGTTACTTTAGAACTCTAAATCATATCTTAAAAAATATTAAATTATATATTAGGTGTTTCTGCTATATTCTGCGGTCATTATCATAGAAATGCAGGAGGATTTTATAAAAATATGGAGGTGATCGTAACATCTGCTGTTGGTGCACAACTTGGAAATGATAAATCTGGATTTAGAATTGTTAAAGTTTTTGAAAAATCTTACCAACACAATTATTATTCACTTGAGGATTTGCCAGAAAAAATTCACTTAAATTGATGATAATTAGTTTGTGATAATAGAATATATTTTGTATTTGTTAATAAATTTGTTTGAATATTTGACTATTTGAATTTTAAAAAAAAGGCCCACCAATGGCCAAGTGGTCTTTGTATCCTGAACACTGAGAGTTCAGTCATGGGTTCGTGCCTCACTCGGACGGGCTGGCCATGTGGAATTTTCCAGGTTTTCTCCACATTCTGTAATGCCTAAATAGGGGCCAGTTTCCCTTAAAAGACCTCCCGGAAGGCATTCCCCTAGGCACATCACCCAAGTGTTGCATTGTCATAACTAAACAAACAAACATTTTTTAAAAAGTTTTTGGTTCAAATCAAGTGATTTGTGACAAATTAACTTATTGTCTTTCACATGAATATAAATTCTGTAATTTACAGCATATAAGCTATACCACAATTTCAGCACAGAATACTTCAGAAAAAAGTATTCAGTCTAAGCCATCCCATACCTTTGATATTTGACCCCAAATGTTTTTACTGTATTTTCATTAAATAAAGTCAAATTGTAATGTAAAAATAATAATATGTGTAATTAAACAATAGCATTTTTATTCAAGAGTTGGACTAGGTAGAGATTATCTGTGGCTTTTGAAATCCATTTGGGGAATTAATTAGTCTTTGAAAGTTGAAACTACATAAGATGCAGAGAAATTGCTTTTTCATCAAAAGTTGTGTCATACATGACTTGAAGAATAATATTCAAAATTAAAAACTAAAAATAAAACAACTAAAAAAAACATAAATTACTTAAACAACTGAAACAAGTATATTAAAATTTGTTTTATTTGTGTTAAACTATCAAAAAAACTAAGGATTAAAAATATATACAGTTGTCCCTTGATAATCCGACAGGTATGGGACCAAAGGTGTGTCAGATTACCAAAAGTGTCCGGATTACCGAAAATAATTACATATTTCGCATTGTTTTGCTAGCAGTAACTTACAATATTCTCTACTCCAACTGTTCGAACAGAACTGCTCACATAAAACACACAAAAGTTTCCGGATTACCGAAAATAATTACATATTTCGCATTGTTTTGCTAGCAGTAACTTACAATATTCTCTACTCCAACTGTTCAAACAGAACTGCTCACATAAAACACATGAAATGTGTGTCATCGAGTAAGAATTGGATGGGGAGATTCACATTGCGACATGCTCTGTGCAAGCAGACACGTAACGGAGACGGGTACCTTGACGGGAGGTGCGTCGGACTACTGAGCATGTCGGATTAAAAAACATCGGACTATAGAAGGACAACTGTATTTAAGGATGAGTGAACTTCACCAAATTTCTGTGGAGTCAGAATATCTAGCATTATCTATAAAAAAATCTTAAATACAGATTAAGCATTTTTTTTGCAACATAATTCTTTCAAAGTTGTTATTAAATTTTATTGAAATGAAAATTTTTAATCTCTTAGAAAACAATTTCAAAAAATTCTTGCGAAAGCATAATCATAATTTATCAAAAACGTTTAGTGTATATATTCTTATTTTTAAATATGAATTCAGGCATACATGAACACAAACACACTTAGATACCATGCATATACCTATTCATGATATGAGAAAATTAAACTAGATGTGTTCATGTTTTCTGTAATTTCTGATTTACATTTTTTTTAAGATACTGATTTATCATTTAAAAACAATTTAAAATGTAATAATTAAAATCAATTAAATGTAACATTAATCAATGATATGGTTTTGTAATTTCTTTTAAATATGCTTAATTGAGCTGGTTGCTTCAATTAGAAAATTATCCCTATCAATATACAGTATAGTGCAAAAAAATAAAATAGAGTTTTTATTAAAAATGGAGTTCGCCAAAATTATTTCTTTTTATTGAATTTTAATCTTTGGTTTGGTTTCATCCCAGTTCCAGAATTTAAATGATTTCATTTGGCTGCAATTTGAAAAATTGTAGATCTATAAATTTCCACTATAAATCAGTCTGTCCTTCCTTAATCTTGGGAATGGTATTAGATGAAAGTCAAGACCAGATATGGAAAGCTTAGGGGCAGGAAGCTCCAGTTATATATGAATTTCTGGTATGGACCAGAAATCATGTGATTCCATTTCAAAAATTTTCCTCAGAATAGAGATAGATACATGATAGCATGACTTCATTGTTAACAGCAAAAGTATGATATACACGGGTAAGACACTATTAAACTTAGGTACATTGTGATGAAAAATTGCAGCTTGGCATTGTGATGATGTCACAATAAATAATTACTCATTCTAATATGTTTTGTAATTTTAACTTACTAAAATTTTTATTAAATTTTGATTAAATTAAAGCACAAACAGTTTTTATAGTACAGTACAGGTACATTCAATTACAAACATAATACATTTTGATTTGTTTGTAAAGTATAAAAGAAAGATTCATAAATTTAATAATAATCTTTTATTTTTGAAATAGCTTGTTTTTTAGTTAAAACAGAAATGAAAAAATTGGCGAATGATGTTTTATAGTAATTCAAATGAATGATTTAAAATTTAATTAACCTATAACAATGAAGCAGATTTTGGCCAAGCATTTAGTATTGCATTCTACTCTCTGAATGATGAGTTTAATTTTTGATTTTTCTCTCTTCTCATTCTGCTATTTAATTATATTATTGTCTTATTATTAATACTGTACATCAGCTAACTATTCTTTCATAATTGTAAAGAAAAAATGAACAGTTATTGAAAACAACTTTATTTTCATTAAAGTAATTTATAATGAATATATGATATAGTAATGATGATAATAGTTATAGTATTGTTACAACAAATATTTTGCATTGTTTAATAGTGTCATTGAAAAATTCAACTTTCTTGTCTTGGAAAGTAACTTAAAAGATTCTCAATACAGTATATGTATATTTAAAGCATAAATTATATATCATAATATTTGCTCCCCATTCTCTTAGTGTATATAGATACACTAAGAGAATAACATCGTCACAGAAAAAAACCTATACCATTATTGATTCATATATAATGATGATTTCATATTTATTTACAATTTAAAATTATCTTTTTATTAAGAGAATTAAGATAAATGATTTAACAAATTACAAATTAAGAATATAAATGCTTGTAAAAAGCAATAACTATAAAAATATGAATCTTTACAGAGTTATATGATTAATGGATTAAAAATATTAATACAGTAATACCCCGAACTTACACGATAGGTGGGACCAAGCGATAACCGCGTAAGTCGAATTCGCATAAGTCGGGGTATAATTTCCCAATTTGTGTAAAATCCAAGTCGGATGTATGTAAGCTAATAAATGTTCTCGTTAATCTTATCTCGTCTTTTGATTTGTTTACGGTTACAAGAAATCACCACATAGAGTCTCCGTAGATATAACAAACACAGAAATAAATAACACAAAATAAATTGTAGCTATGTGTCGATTCCACACGACACATCCGAACATGTAAGCTGAACAATAGTGTGGGGGGAGTGAGTAATCAAGAGTTGCATAGTGCTCAAACAAAAGACGAATTGACGAGATTTGAAAATCGCGTAAGTCGGGGTAGCGTAAGTCGAGGTATTACTGTATATGAAATTCCGATGAGAATGAAATTATTCTTAACTATCAAGATTTTTACAATGTAAAATCTTACATGGACATAATAATAAATTACAATTAAAATATTTTAAATAAAAGGTAGAATTTTCCTTATTTACAAACATGTATGTGTCATTCTCACATTTTGTTTATAATAGGTCATATATTGTCTTCATAGCAGAATAATATAGCAGTTTAATATGAATTTACAATAATTACATTAAAGTTTCATTTTTCAAAAACATTAACTTTGTTTACATTATAAAGTTTATAATATTACTTATTTTACTTTATTTCAAAAATGCAAATTAAATAATTTTAAATAACAATTTTACATGAAAGGCAAACAAAAACTTTAAAAATATTTTGTTTTCATTCTGTTATATTTAGGTTATCATTACAATATGTATTGTTTTCTTCTAATTTTTCATTTGAAGAAATTATGTTATTACTTTCCATATAATTAATAAGATGTGTTACACTAGTAAAGGCTGAAATATCATCATTTTTAATAGAATTAAGGCATTCATTGGAACCAACTTCATCTAATGTTTCTTCAGCTGTTTCATAATTGGACTCTTCATTATATTCATCATTTGTGTCACTTTCATCTATTTGTGTATCAAATTGTTCTTCTTCCTTGACTTTGAAATGTTCTGTTTGCTGAATGGGAGTCTTCAACTCTAATCTTTTATCACATTCTGATATTAAATCTGGACAAAGCAAACCATTTTGATGTTTTTCAGAACTGGAAACTGAAGTTTCATCCTTAATAGAAAATTTATTTTTCATATCTTCATTGTTTTCAGATGAATTTGTATGCATGATATTTTCACATTCTTTAATTTTAATGGAACTTTGATTTGGATTAGGATTAGTAGAATAGCTTGATTCTAGTTGTTTTGAATCATTTGGATCAATTTTTACATTATCAAACAAATTTGAACTGAAATATATATATTTAAAAATTAATACTAAAGTATTAAAATATTTTCAAAATTTTATTTTAAGAATAATTTGTTAAAAATCTCAATATAAATTTTAAAAAATTTCTGGAGCCAATAAATTAAACAAAATTAATATACATCCTTCGCAATTTCTGTAATTGTATGACCTTTTGATTTTAATTGAACACATTTGCAATTACTTGATTTATAAATAATTTTTGCTTTACCATTGTCAGTGAAAATTGCTAACTGATTTTTTAAATTTCAAACAACAAAAATATCTTCAGTCTCTCCATATAATGGTTAAATTTTAAATATTTTTAAAAAGTAACAATAACTCTCATTTTACTTAAACTTTTGAGACAGACCTTACAATGACTTTAATTTAAAATGCAGGAATATTTGTTTATTTTGCATAGAAAGTTAATGGAGTCTAATAATGCATATGTTGGTATTCTGAAATGCAATGAAACATTCATCAAGAGAAATTCTATGTAAAGAACTAAAATCTGATATTTTAATTTCCAACCTTAAATTTTCTTCTTTGTCTCTTTAGATATTGTTAATATTTTAAATTTTTATTTCAAAATCTTTTCATATATGATTTCTCAATCAAAAATAAATTTACGTTAAAAGTTTTTACCTTTAACATTGCCTCATTTGCTAATCAAAGCATTACATGAAAAGGCTTTAGAAACTTTTTTATATTCAGAGAAATAGGTTTGAAAGACTTTTTAAATAATTCTTTTAATGTGTTTTAACTTTATAATTAGAAAAAAACTGTAGTTTGATTAAGAATTTAATTCAAGAACTTGTAATACATGTATAGTTCTTTCACATAAAGTTTATTTTGATATTCTGAAATGTAATAAAAGGCTTTATTTGTGCTGAAATATGTTCCATTAACTTTTTCATTCAAATGAGATAAATGAACTTGTATTTCAAATGAAATATTTTATATAGCTTACATACATTTGATAATTAATGTTTAAATAATAGTTTATATCAATCTAAACTAAATTTTCAGGTTATAATGCTTATAATGAAATACATAATTCAATTGCAATAACCTGAACAAGTTAGTTTAAATCTAGAAATTGTTTAAGCCAATTTGCTCTTCAAAAAAGTAATTGCTTATAATTTTAATCATCATCTTATTTGTTTCAAAGAAACTTGCTAAAATTTAATTATTTGAACATTTTAAAGAGTGTACATTTTAATTGTTTATATTTAAAATTACCATTATTTTAAGTGGATAACCCACAAGTTATCTGTGTTTAAAAGTCAGTTTTGAAAATAGGTGTGGGTTATCTGCTGATTCTAACTTGCAATCATAAATTCATCAAACAATTTTTTCAGTTTAAATTTACCAAGAGTATCTTTAGAAAATGTTAAAAAATCCTTTGTATGCTAAACACATATTTAGCCACTGGTGTGATTTTTTGAAAATCACTAAAGGAACACACACACGTGCCTCCTTATTCTACTTGGAATTTTTTCTTAAAAGCTGATAAGTTTTCAGTAATTTCCCCCTCTCCATATAATGCCTCTTAAATAATTATTTAGAAACTGATTGTTGATTTTATTATTTGTTAGTTCGAAACAAATAAGACATGTCAATTGATTCTTGAATGCATATCTTTGCTTATTGTAAATATTAAAATCTTTTTTACTTATTTTTTTAAGATTAATAATTTAATAGTAAATGCTAAAATAATTAGCATTTACTATTAAATTATTATTATTATTATTAACCCATGTCACTTATTTTATAATTATATCTACAATAAACTACTGACAAAAATAAAATGAAATGGGATATTGTTTAATTTAAGATAATATCTTCTAAACTGCATACTGCTGCATATGTTCACCAGCCACTTCAGAGATATTCAGTAATGTAAGTTATGTGTATGTTCTATTTCTGTTCTAGCAATTTTTTGAGCGATATGTGCTGATTCATGGGGTTAGCCACATAAAATTACGGTAATTATAAATTATTATGTATTACTCGTTTGATATTACAGAATTTTATTTGAAGTATTTTCAAATCACATTACTAGAGCTTAATATAATTAATGTATGATAAGATAGTATCAAAACATAGCTAAACTTTATAAAAACACTAAGTTAAATATTATGCATATCTTATTGCTGAGAGAGAGAGATATTATAAAGTAAATAAAGTTTAGATATTTAGTATCATATTAAATGACTTCATTTAATATCATTTGATGCCATTTTATTTTAAATTATTTCAATTTTGCTATTTCAAATGATATCAATTGATTTTTACTAGAGATAATTTTAAAAATATTAAATTGAAAATTAAAACTAAGCTTATGAGTGAATCATAAACTTTATCTAAATTAAATTATGAACTACATTATACAGTATATCAATAATGATTGGTTAAGATTCTTACAGATGTGGTGCAGTCAATTTTGTTGCTCCAAAAGGATCAGAAACATGTGGTGGTCTTACAGCATGTTGTAGTTCTTCTATCCATACTTCTCTAGTTTTACTATCACTTGCAGACTATATAAAATATTACAGANTTCTTTGCTTTTAAAGTTTAGCAATAAACAATTTACTTATTCATTTTTTTTGCTTCATTTCTTGGACCAAAAATAAAGTAAGTATTCTAATTGTAATGTAACTTTTAAGTAATTAAGCTTTAATACCAAGAAAAATGACTAAAAAAAGGGACAAATCTCATTAATATCTTTGAAAAAAAATTCCACAAACAGCGTCGATTCATAATTGTTCACTTAGAAATTAAGACCCTTTTTTTCCTCTATTATATTTAACTTTCGTTAGAAAAAGTCTTACCTTCTAAATATTAAATGAACTAGAAAGTCAAAAAGCTCTATTTTCCGCATATTTTTTCAAATTTTTTGATTTATAAACACGATAAAAAATAAAAATATCTAAATTTTCTCTCTTTAAAAACCGAAATTATTTTATTTTATTAACTTTTCATCTATATCAGAAAAGTAACAAATTCTATATAAGTGAAAAGAAAATAATAATGTGATAATAATAGAACCAAATATTTTATTTAATGGAAAATCTGCTGTTTATTAGATATAATTTTTCTATCTGAGGTTCATAATTAGTAGCCTTTAAGACTTTTCATGATCTTGATTCACACTGCGTATGAAAGAAATATTTGATCAATTTTAGAATTTTGCGTCATTTATAAAAAAACCAATATTTCCTAAATATTTAATGCTGGTAAGTTGAAACTGTGCAGGTCACTGATTTGCTATCACTTTCCCATATTATATCAGTAATATCCAAAACTATAATAAGAAATTAGTTACGATTAAGGATTATGAAAAAGTTAAAAATGTTCATATTGTAGGAACTAAATTATCTTCACACATACATTACTGATCATTAAAAGAAATGCAAAAGTTAAACTACTGGTTCAACAATAGGCAATTCTGAATATCTAGCCATATAACAAAATGTAGTTATAATTTTATATTTTTTAGTTAATAATAACAAAACGATAACATGTTTGCTTCAATGTAATTAACCCAAGCTTTAAGTTTTTCTGGTTTTCATTAAATATTTCTCTCAACATTCAAATGTTATTGAATAAATATCAAATACCATTAGCAGCATTTATATCACAGTTACAAATCTGTCATGTTGCAATCTGTCTGAAAAATAATAGGACTTATTAATTAATTAAACTGGTGTAGTTTCTGCATAGCAAATAGAGGAGAACGAAAACTACACCAATGTAATAAGTTCTATTAATTTGTTTATTAATAGGACTTATTATACAAAGTCCAAAGTAGACAAGGATAAAATAAAATTCAATTCAATTCAATTGTTTTATTAATGCATAAAGATGCATGTCCAGCACCGCTAGGCATAGCTGGACATGGGTTACAGAAAATATATTGCAAATAAACAATTTCACATAACTATGTAAACGCGGGCAATATATGAACTTTGAAGTGGATACAGTAAGCAATGGGCGATTAGTGAATACAATGCAATAGTACTTATGATACATGGAATTTACAAAGGAACAAAATGTGTCAGTATAGCCGTAGAATAGGCAAATACAGTTGTAGAATGATTAAGCATATATGAAGTAACAATTAATTGTTGATATTTGAGCAACATTACATATACAATGGAGAGCATATAATATACAATGAATAAATGGTGGAAACAGAATACAAAGAATAAAGTACACAGTACTGGTAAATACGCCAATAAATGTAATAGCATTAGCAGGAAGAGAGACTGTACAGTATATACAAACTGAATTACGTATTACCTAGAAGTTGAGTTACTAGTGGGGACGTTAGTCCTCCTGTTGTACTGGTAGATGAGTTGTACAAATTGGTTGAAGGTGTCCATATCGTTTATCAGGTCACTCAAAAACTCGTGATTATTATTTGGCCAGTGGCCATGCTTGTGGTTGATGAGGATGCGAAGCTGTGATCTCTCAGGCTCCAACATGGCACAGTCTAGAATGTAATGGAGGCTGCCATCCTGCTTATTACAAATAGGGCAGAGGCCACTGTTTTGTGGGTTGACGAAACGCTTAAGGTACGAGTGAAAGCGGCCGTGGTTGGTCAGAAATTGCGTAAGCTGAAAGTTGGGTGTGATCCATCTATAAGAGTATATTGCAGAAATATCCGGAAAAAATTTATATGTAATATTTTGATTTAAGTCCCAGTCGTTTTGCCAGTTGGTGTGAAGATCGGTCCATAGTAGCTTTTTGATGGTATGTAAGTTAAATTTACTGTAGTCTATTGGTAAGGTTTCGTCAGTGGCCGCAGATTTGGCCAGGGCATCTGCCCGCTCGTTCCCGGTGTTGCCCTGGTGGGCTTGTACCCAGGTAATACTAATAGAGTTATCAGTGTATTTGACGGCCTCGTGGATTTCTTGTGCGATGGGGTGGAGATTCTTGCGACGAAGGAGGGAAATAGCAGAGTTACTGTCCGAATGGAGTGTGACATTCAGGTTATGGTAGTTCGTGGTGCACTACTTGATGGCCAACTTGATGGCAAGCAGCTCTGACTGGAAGACAGAGCAGCTGCCATGCAAGCGGGCTCTGTGATGAAAGATCTCCATCTTGTTCTGATAGGCGACAAAGCTGCAGCCCACATTATTATCACTTTTTGACCCATCAGTATAGATGTTTATTGAAGGCTCAGAATGAGAGTTGTGGGAGAGGTTAGTTAACTCGTTCGGGTAAGGTGATTTACAAAAGTCAATAGGACGCTCGAGCATGTCAGCCCGAATTATACCTGTACTGGTGACGATGTCGTTGCCCCACTTGATGTTCCATGTGTCGCTGAATAGCTTGATGACTTTGTCAATCGGAGGCTTTTTACATATTACTTGAAGGCTGGCATTAGGGGTGGTACGGTATGCCTTTGCGATGTGAAGCAGGGCTGTCCGCTGGGCGGAGATGAGCCTTCGACGTGGGTGGGATTTGGCAGCAGCCTCTCCCCAGGTACCGCACCCATAAGTGATGATAGGGACGAAAATTGAATCGTAAATTATACTCATAGCTTCTGAGTTTAGGCCCCAGCTATTTTTGGCCACCCTGGTAAAGGAGTGGAAAATGAGGCTGACCCTGTCGCAGATATACTTGATGTGCTGCTCCCAGGAGAGATGGTAATCTAGTGTGACCCCCAGATATTTTAGGGTTTTCTCAATTTTAATTGAGTGACCGTCCATTTTGATGGTTGGAGTCCTTTTGTAGAGATTGGGCTTGCGAGGATTGGTGAAAATAATACCCTTAGTTTTATGGGGGTTGAAATGTAATTTGTGGCGAATGCCCCAATGATGGATGTTATAGAGGATACTAGAGGCCTTCCTTTCAAGATCTGCTCTGGACGAGCCGCCTACCAAGACCATTACATCGTCCGCATAGGCGGTTAGGGAATCCTGGCCAAATGTAGAGTTAAGAAAGTCATTAAACGTGATATTCCATAGCAGGGGGCCGCAGACAGAGCCCTGCGGGCAACCCCTGACAACGGTTTTTTGGTGAGAGAGATTGCCGATATTGAGAATAGCTTTCCTGTTGTTTAAGTAGTGGCGGATAAGATTGAAGAGGTTGGTGGGGCAGGCTACGTTGTTGAGCCCCTTGAGGATCAAGGGCCACCAGACGCTGTCAAAGGCCTTCTCGATGTCTAGGCTTATGCCTAAGACATATTTGTACTGGTTGAGGAGTTGATGAATATTGGTGGTGACATTATGGATTGCGTCATTAGAAGACCTTTGGTGTCTGAAGCCAAATTGTGCCCCGTGGAGCCTATCCGTGGCTTCCACGTGCCAAGTTAGCCTTGTGGTAATTAACTTTTCTAACACCTTACCCAAAATGGGAAGGAGTGAAATCGGCCTGCACGTGGACGAGCCAGGTTTGGGAATAGGAACCAGCTTGGATACCTTCCAGGCTTTCGGGAAAATGCCATGCTGCAGGCAGATGTTGTAGATATGCAGCAGTTGAGTAGGGAACAGGTCCCAGAGCTTTTTCACAAGTTTTGCTGAGATGCCATCAATGCCAGGAGTTTTAGTAGCTGGAAGCTCACTGATTATCTTATCCACCTCATGCTGTTCGAAAGGAGGGGTGTTTGGATTGATTATGTTATGGTAGTCTGCTTTCCTGATATCTTGTTGCCATGTGTCATCATCCGCAGGGTTGTCATCGAGGCAGAAGGTGTTTATTTTTTTCTTCATGACGTCTGTTAAATTATCATTGTTACTAGTTTCAAGGATGTGACTTCTTTTTAGCTTGCCCGTGCAGAGCTTTGTTATATAGCCCCAGGGGTTGCTGGAGGCTTTTGTACAGTAGCTCCTCCAAGAGGTGATCTTTGCATTTTTTATTTCTTGCTTATAAATCTTCTGATTCTGTAGGTATTGTTCTTTGAGTTGGCTGCGTTCTGGTTCGTTTCTACAATTTTGATATTTCTTCCGGAGGTGTCTAACACTTTTGCGTATATCGGAGAGCTTTGCATCCCACCAGGGGACAGCCCTGTGGCGACGAGAGGTACGAGGAATGAATAGATTGCAGGCGATGTTAATGTTTTCAATAGAGCTGTCAAGAAAATTACTGGCGTCATCGAAATCACTGGAGTTGTAAGTGGTGAGTTTTGTCCGAAGGAGGCTGGTGAGGCCATCCCAATCAGCACGTGATAAATTATAACGTAGTGGAAGGTCGGTGTTACCAGTGGTACTTACATTATTTATCGTAAAGTGGAGGTAGGCATGTTCACTGAGTGAATCCTCCTGTAGGACCCTCCAGCCCGTGACGAGATTAGAGCACTGAAATGAGGCAGCAGTAATGTCGATCCAGCTGTGGCCCCTAGAACTGTAGAATGTTGGTGGGGAATGTGGATCATTTATGAGAATTAAGTTATTGGTGGCAAGAAAATCACATAAGGCAGTCCCTCTGTCGTCCAGATGCTTGCCCCCCCAGGCAGGGGAGTGTGAATTGAAATCACCAACAAGGAGAAGGTTGTTGTACTGAAGGTTGTTGATAGTGTCTTGGAGATGGTC